CTAATCTGGACCCTGACCCTTCAGCCTGAGCTCTCGGCTTGATCCCTGACATGCCTCATTGTCTATGGATTCATGGCTGAACCTGCTACTGTCACTAGGCTTATTTGGGCACTGTGGGCTGTGTCCTGACACAAATTATGAACATACACATCTCTGACACCACAACAAGCTTTTGTCTCCATCTAGTTCCTTGCTGGGCAGCATATTTTGTGTTTGAGACTACAGCTCAACAATGTGGAAGAGTGGATCAATGAAGTGGGAGTTTCACTTCCCTCACAAGCCTTGCTCCTGGACATGAGCTCCCACTTCTCCATGTGCCAGCTGAGATCCATGCTGACAAAGGCCTTCAGTCAGGCTGACTTTAGGAAGTTAAATCAGCTTCCAAAGGGGTACACCAAAGATGGTGCAAAAGTGATTGTGCTCACAGGTAGGTAGGAAGAAATAAGTGGAGGGAGGAGTGGGCGAACAGGACCTCCCCTTTTACAGAAGCATTTGGTAGCTGCACTCAGTCACAGTGTCAAAACCTGCCAGTTACATGTCTGATCACCCTAAATTCAAACCATGCATTTCTCTGAGGGTTTATGAATGGAGACAGCAGAGAGTACAAAAAAGGTAGCTCCGCTTCTTGAACTGAATACATAAACATATTTGTTCTCACCAGACTGCCTTTTTAAATATGCCACTAGCTTTGGTAGTTTAGTAAAGCAAAAGGAAAGTCTACACAGAGAAGCAAGGGAAAACAAACAGAAAATTCTCTACTTCCCATCAGAAGGTTATGTCCAGCTATATTCTAGGAAGCAGGTCCTCACTATGCATAGAGGTTACTCAGGAAGATAAATGTCCCAATAATTATTGTTCTCTCCTCTTCTCCTTTGCCTTAGTTTTATTTCTAAGCAGACAACATGGTATAGAATATTTCCTTGTTGAGCTTGGTTCAGCTGTAATATCTGGTCCCCTCCCAGTCTCTTGGCCAGAGTACTGGCCCATGGAGGGGGAATGTTGGGGGCACGGCCTCGATGTTATGTGAGGCTGCCTGGTGGTGGGCTTGGTAACACCGAGGTAACACTGATGTGTTAGCAACACCTTTCTAGCTACTGACACACAGCACAGCACTCTGAAGGCTGCTGTGGGGGAAGTCCCCCAACCCAACCCTTCCTGAACTTGCCAATGCCAAAAAATGTCAAAAGGCACTCTGCAGAAGCCAGCTGCCTGTCCCACTAAACTATAGGGTATTGCTATGTTGGATGATTAATGCCTATACAGTTTTCTTTATTGGAAAAGGCTATTACACAAGGGATTCAAGAGTTCTGTGGGAAGTGTGTAAACCCCAGAAGTGTTTATGTAATCACTACTTCCCCTTAAGTGCACACGGCAAATTTCCAGAGTTTTGGACATGGTCAGGAATGTTACTGGATACCTGATTTTAAAAAAATGGGGTAAGAAACTAAGAGAATGATGTGAAAAGCCTATCTCCATTGTACAGATCTGGGCTATAGAAACATATATACCATTTCTTCTTCATAACCCTCTATTTATTTTGGGAGTTAGACAGGCACATTCTCTAAGTAAAGCTCTGAAAACATTTAGCAGGGGTTAACACATGGCAGAAAAACAATAGTGCATAGAAAGGAAAGTGCAAATTCAAGGCACTTTGATAGACTTTTGTGATAACCTGTATTGACCTGAGCAAGAGGTCAACAAAACAGTGCTTTGGAAACTCAGTTACAGTTATCATTAACATGGGTGACAGTGACTAACTAAGAAGAGGCATTTGAATGGTGTGATTATACCCCTGTGCCTTTCCCCTTTCCTCTGTTTTTATCCAAAGGAGCTCCCCCTCACTTGCACACATTGGTAAATGCAGTCAAGAAAGCATCAGGAACACTGGCCAGACCTGTCCCGCAGGCGCTGCCCAGCCACTGTAGCAGTAGGCAATGCTTGAGGGCATCACAACTTCCCCAGCTGCTACAAAGTATTTTCTTCCCACAACAGGCAGCGCCTTAACTTCACAAAGCCATAGTTCAGCCTTTCATATTCTTCCCTGATACGTCAAAGGCTCTGAAGTGAGAAAACCTAATACTCCTGCATACAAAAATCAGCTCTGCCTAGACCTGCAATGAAAGTATGTGAAAGGCAACCAAAATAATAGCTGAACCACGCAATTCCAAAGAGCTGACACTGGCATCACAGTTCAGTCTTTAAAAAAATAATTTTTGAATTAAAGTATATCTGTAATGTCTGTGATTTGTCATCCACAGAATACTCTATAGACCCACCCTCACAGAGACAACAATTGGGAGCAGTTGCTGGACAAAACTAAATCAGCCAAATCACCTGCTATTATGAATAATCATACTGCATAAGACTCTAAATTAGCTACTCAAGATTATTTTTAAAGTAGCAACCTCTTTGGCTCTGACTGTGTTGTTATTGGAAACTGATCTGATCTTTAACTGCTTTAAGGGAAAAGAATAATCTTCCAATTCCCTGTTAAAGTTTATTCTCTGTTTTACATCTGCTTATTTATGGTCCAGGACAGAGTATTACATTTTAATATCTTTTCTGTCCTTAATATTACAGCCTCCACCTGGCATTATTTCTGCACTCTACAACATGTTATTGAGAGATACAATAGCCCCTTCACAGATGGCAGACAATTAGACAATTAGATAGATGGGGCTTTGATAGCCCTGCCATGGTACAGAGGAGTGGTGCTTGGTGATCTTAAAAGGTCCTTTCCCACACTGACCATGCTATGACCTTACTTCTTGTATTTTTTTGCTAGGCTAGAAAGATTATTTTTGTGATATCTCCTTGTAAGCTACTAGAATAGTAAGAATAGGAGCTTTCTTTGTACCTCATCGAATTTTAATCCATGTTCCTTGAATGAGAAGAGTAGAACTTCACAAATTACTTTGATATCTTCACTAGAACTTTGAATAACATCATTAACACTTCTCTAATTCCATTAGAAGTAGTTCAGCTACAGCAGGCCAACACTCCTAGACTTGTACTTGTCAAAGTAATTTGTCTGTGTTTCCAACTAATGAGCTGCTGGCTGAAACAGTAATTTTTGTTATTAGTCCAATCTCAGTCATTGATTTAAACAAGTATTAAAGATTCAGATCCAACACTCATCCTGAGAAATTTCAGAGCCAACCCTCTCCTACACAAGAGCTTTCCTTTCACTGCTAGTGTTAGTATGTACTGAGGTACAGTCCTACATATTATTTTCTAAATCCCACTTCTCAATCCTGTAGTTTCCTACCTGTAAAGAAAAGGTGTTTTACTGAAGTTGGATAAGATTTACTGCACTTGTACGTAGACAGGAATCAGTCAGCCTAGCTCTAATGGCTTCAACATTTCATTCTGCTCAGAGCTGTTTTGAAGTTCCCCATACATTCTAAATTACTCTAGCCGGTAAAAAGCTATCTGCATAAATTTCTTCCAACATCTCCTTCAATATAGATTTTATATACACAACATTCTTGAGTGATTTTGTAATATCTGAGAACAGATTTTATCATTACATGCCCTGTTTCTTTATATCACTTCCACACAATTATGTGACGGAGATTTCCCATTAGCAGACATCCAACACTAGCAGACGACTTGGGAGCTCACCAAATCATCTGTGGAAAGAACTCTTTGCAAAAACCTTGAAAACCACAAACTCCAACTGATTTATAACTGTGCAAACCAATGTCAGAGAAAATGTAAACATCTACTGAAATCTGCATGAGTTTATGAAATTAAAAACAATGTTGAAACCCAACTCAGTGTGTTGCTGTGTGTTAGCAGCTTGCGTCACCATCCTAAGATCTGTAGGCAATATATTTTGTATTAGCAGCCTGGATTTCTGTCACTGTGGCTAAAACACTCAGATCTGGCATTGTCTTACAAAAGCTGGCTTTAGCCCAGATGTTTATCAATTCATCATTTCAGCTTGGTCATAAAATCTCCTTCAATTTTAAAAGCAAATGTTTGGTGTTTCTTAAAAAACCTGAAATAACTGATTTTTCACATGTAGTTTCAAGTTATATACTCAAATTTGTTTCTTCCATTCAAGGAACAAAATTCTCACAAAAAGCACAACATTTTACACATTTACATTAAAATGAAAATGCCAAGCAAAAACACACTGCTTTTTTGAGAACAGATTATTGTAAAAAAATAGCTTCTTTGCTGGTGATACTACTTAATAAAGAAATACAAAGTGTTCAGATGGCCTTTCAGGCTTTGCTTGTTTAATTTAATTACATAATTGCGAGGAAAATACTTAAAAAGAAATTGCCTACATAATAGATTTAGTAGTGTGCTTATGCGAAAGAAAAAAAACAAACAATAAAATAGCAAAATAATACAGCCAGTTCAAAGCCACAGGGAGTTTTGCTATATTGAATAAAATTTAGTTACAAATAATTTTTAAGTGGACTTGATCCTAAATCTGCTTCTTAACAAAATCTGAAGCGCTTTTGCAAAAGTTTCCACTTAATTATTTCCTTTCAACTCTGTGTTTCTTTTCATTAAACACAAAACAGAGTGGACACCTACTACTATCTAGGTTGTTTATTCCAATACTTAAATAATGTACCTGCCTTACAGTTTAACTTTAAACACTGGAAATTAATTTTCTGGGGATAATGCTGCATTTAAAACACAGTTCTAAGATTATATAAATATTTGGTAATAGCATGATACAGAAATATTTTGTAACTCTAGGCTAATATGAATTTTATGTCAGTAGTAGTTTGCCCACAGCTTAAGCTTCTGATGGGCTACTCACAGTAGGGCTTTATCCAACAATTCCACATACTCTAGTTCTTATTATGTGATCAAATCCCAAGTTATTGGCAGTCACAGAGTTCAAGGACAGAAGGAAAAAATCAGAACATGCAGTACCATTTGCACATTTGAGGCTAACACATTTCATGCACTTAATAAAGTAACTCAAGATAATCAGTTTCATCCAGAGAAAGGGCAGAAGTAACTGATTTTACCACAGTCTGTTCTCAGGCAGTCTCCAGTGATTTCAGAAACCTTCCTTGACTCCAAATCTCCTGGCTGAAGTGCAGAGTCGCGGCTTTCCCCCTGTCAGTGGGCACAAAGAGTATGTCATGTCACTTGTCAGCCCATGTCCTGCTTCTCGCTATGGATGCCTACCAGACAGTCCTTGCCGTCATCCCTGATAACTCATCTCAGGGGAGAATCGTGCTCATCCCTGATAACTCATCTGGGGGGAGAATCATGCTCAGCACTGAAAGGGTGTTCCTATCCTGGAAGCTGCTCCTTGTCTCAGCACTTCTGAGTCAGCCATAGTCTCCTCTCTGTCAACACTGCTTTCATTACTCACCACTTGCTACCTACTGGTTTGTACTTAACCAGGCTTTACGTCCTGTACAAAGAGTTCTAAGCCATGGTGTGACCCAAACTACCACATATGATTACATCCTTCCCATCTTCATATACCTTCATGACAATTGTTGGCCCATTAACTCCATGTGTTTTTGTTTGCTCTTTCATCTTCAAGATTTAACCAGGCAGAAGCAAATGCAGCCAATATTGCTCCCTTCAGAGATCTTTTGAGAACACATCTAAGAAGCCGTATAGTCTCCGGAGATTTTAAGTGTGATTTTTCTGAAATTAACATTATTCATGTAACTCAAAACTTCAAGAACTGCTACAAACAGATCATGCTTTGAGATTCAAAGTGGTCCCTATATCTTAAGAAGAGCTTTAGTATTCTTTTTCAATTTGGATTTCTTATGGCTTAACAAATCAAATTAAGAAACAACTGATGTATTCTAAATTTCAGCTATTCTGCATTAGATCCTGTAATTTATTCTGATCCAGCAAAGCCTGATTCTGCCAAAAAAGTGCTGGCTTGCCTGTGTTCTTACACTGAACTCAAATGAATTACACCTACATCTAATGCTTCTGCCTGCTAGATCATGTCCAATTTTTGTGGGAACTGAGAGGATTAGCGAATGCAAGACAGAAACAACAATGTGTATTTGAAACCACGCAAGAACATGGACAAGATGAAATTTTTCTAGTACTGAGCCCTCTTAAAAGTTTGTGAAAAGCTATTTTTTCTACTTAAAAAGTCTTAAATATAGTTAAATTAAGAAGAAAATCAGTTATTTCTTATGAAAATATCCAGTGGGAAATTCTAAGAACACCTAAGAAATCTTCAGGATAGAATGATTTTTCATTTTATTTTTCTCTGTAACTAGAACAAGATCAGCCCTCATAGCTACCCTATAAGATTCACCATGATACATAATTTTTCAAAGAACAATGCAGTTGTTTAAACATACATTCTTCTCATAAAATTTATTTCTGAATTCTGGCCAGTTGTAAAAGTGTCAGGCTATTTTTAAGCTTGAGAGATTTAAGATTATGTAAGTTAATAGCTTTCTAGCAGAAAGCATACTTGTAAATCAGTAGTATTTCTGAATCTCTCCAGGGGATCTCTATGTTCAGCTTTGACAGGACTTCTGAACAAACTGCATTTTCCCTGCACCTGCAATCTTAATTTTTTGCTGGCATGGTGGTTTACTGTGTCTTGTACCTTGCCTGTGGCACTCTTCAACTAGCTACACAAATACATCCTCTGCTTGACTGTAAAATTAACACAGAGAAACACAGTCTATGTATTTTTAACTCTGGCCTTCTGTTTTAGGCAACATGGAGGAGAGCTTCAGTGCAAGTCACGCCACTTGATTTCAGTTGATGGATTACAGGGTAAGATATCTGCTTTGTAAAATGCCCCAGAATGTTTGCATTAACAGAATCTCTAAAGAAAAAGAAACAAAACAAAACAAAACCAAAACCATGACCAACTTCTTGAGGCGAATCCCTTCAGTACAGCTGGGGACCAAGGCAACAGGGAAACAAAAGGCGCAGAGGGGCGCGCGCGTCATCCGCCCCACGCAGAACACAGCGCTTGGCAGGCCAGTGGCTGCTGCCCTGCACTGTGGTTTTGTCTCAGACACTGGGAAATGTTCACGTGAGCTTTGGGCTCCCTACCAAGGCCAGGACTAACCCTTACGCTTCTCTGCAGCTGAGCAGGACTGCGCTGCCAGATCAGCACCCGGCCTGCCAGCCAGGGCGCCTGAGCCTGGCTCCCAGGGTGCTTGGAAAGAGCTTCCCACCAAGATAAATATGGCAGGCTTCTCAGGGGGAAAGCAGCAGAACCGAGGAGACCACAGGCAGTTTTTAATCCACCAGTGATTTATCAAACCTGATGAAACTATTCTTACCATGACACTGATTTACTAAACTGTTTCTTGCTGCAGCTTAACCTACTCTAGTGCCAATAATAGGAGGATGTGAACTGCATAGAAAAGTATCTAACTCATTAAAATTATGTAGTTGAAATAAAGAAATTAATAAACAGGAACAAAGTCCTTAATTTGTTGATTTAATCTCTTTTAATTTTTCCCATGAGGCAGCTAATAGGGTACTTAATGAGCTGCCAGTCATCAGTCATTGGACACTGACTGCTTCACATTCAAGAGGCTGATTAAATAATATAGGTGCTAATTTCATTCTGGCAGCAGAACAGGATTGAGATTATTAGTTAGGAAAGAGATCAGATATTTTGAGCAAAGGAGAGGTAATCATTCTAGTTATACCAGTCTGAAGCTATTCTCATAAAACTCAATATAATATTAACTTTTTCCTTATTTGGATTAGAACAGAGGAAAACACCTAAAGCATGTTATGAGTTATAAACCAAAACAGAGCACAGGATTTCAACATGCAGAATTACTCCAGCTCTAAAACAGCAAGGGGTCAGCACATCTAATGCACATCCACTTTCAAAAGAAACTTCTCCCTACTGATTATTAGTGATTGTTAGAGTAAGCTTCAGCCTACTCATAAATAACAAATGAGAAATAAATAAATAACCCATGGGAAAAAAGTTACCATCTTGTAGTAGGGGGTAATTTTCTTCTAGTCTTTTTTGGTGATGTTGAACAGTTAAGTCAGTTTATACAGGACAGCTCTTTGACTATTTTCAGCAGTCCTGACCAATAAACTCCAGGTATTTTTACTTCTCTTAGCATCATTTCCAGTACTGCCATAAATCTGCAACAAATCAGTTCAAGGAACTAAAGCTAATCACTTTTCTTTCTGTAGAGCTTGTTATTTTTTTTGGTTTTTTATGTCCTTGAACAAATCAGATGAATATCAGTCAAAGAACAAGGGAGGAAGTGGAAATGGTTTGAACTCTTATGAAACACTTAAACTCAATCTGTTTAAAGCATTTTGTTACAGGCAAACACTAAGGATAACCCCTGTGAAGTTTTGTTTTGGCTACAAGAATGTGGCTAAAAGGTAAAATGACAATGCCAATGAAAAACCAGTTTTTTACTGCCTGCTATCAAACTACTATTAACATATGTCTGTTCAAATAGATAATGGATTGTTTATATCCATTAAGGCTGTCCCTACATAGTCACTGACTGTGTTGAACCTAGTAAGCAGCAGTCTCTTGACAACAGTGAGCTGAAGAGCAAAACAAGAGTGGAAATACAGTGGAGACATTTTTTCAGGTACACATGACTATTGTTTATTACCTGCCACAATAATCCCTTGCGCCTCTTTGAATGAAAACAATTGATGCTGCAAATCCTAGTACAACTGTGATGACATAACCAGACTTCCATGGATTTACTAGGCAAGAGTTGTAAAATCATCACAAAGCCAAAGAGCTTCTAAACGTGTATGACCTTTGGCTCAGCTATCTGAGTCACAGAAAATAGCCACACATTCCTGTGAGTGTGTGAAAACTTAAATGTTACGTGAGGGAATCATAGATTTTGCAGGGAGGATTAAAATCAGCTAAAGACATAAAGAGCAACTTTTCTCAAGTAGCAGTAAAGATACCCATAAAATGGGATAACAAGACCAAAGTTGGAGAAGAAAAAAAAAAATGGTGCTGATTCTTAAGCTGAGGTTACTGGTCTTTCCATAGTCAGAAAAAGAAAGTTTTAAGGTCAGGTGGAAAAAAATTATCTGGGGGCACAAAGTCCTACAGACACAGTAAATATTATCTTCTGTTTGTAGAATCTAGACCATACACTCTAGACTTCCTGTATTTGGATGCGCAGTCCACATAAAGTTGTGATTCGTCATGTATAGAAAATGAAACTCTCATGTTTGTGTTAAGCACTATCCGCTGTCAGCAGTCAGAACAAGGCAGCAGCTCCCCAGCAACAGCAGGGTAACAGTCCTCAACTCAGGCATTGTTTATACAAGGAGCGTAAGTTACAGTGACCTCTCTTCCAAATGCTAGGAGTTTAATTCTACAACACAAGGATGAACACCAATACCGCTGCTTAGCTGAGCCTGAACTGCAGGGACAGGAAAAGGGAGGAAAAAGAGCTACTTTCCTCCTCCTTCTGGATCATTCTAGAGTTCTAGCCTGAACTTGTAAATTAATTTTTACATGAGTCAGGAAAGAGCAAGCAGGTGTTCACCATTCCTTTGCTTCCAGGATCTTCTCAGCAGAGACAGAGAAGGGCAACAGAGCTGGGGAAGGGTGTGGAGCACAAGTCCTATCAAAGTCAGCTGGGAGCTGGGGGCATTCAGCCTGAAGAAAAGGAGGCCCAGAGGACACCTTATCACTCTCTATAGCTCCCTGAAAGCAGGGTGTATCCAGGTGGGGGTTGGCATCTTCAACCAGGCAACTGGCAACAGATCAAGAGGACATAGTCTAAAGTTGTTCCAGATGAGGTTTAGGTTGAATGTCACAAAGCAATTCTTCACAGAAATGTGATTAGATATTAGAATGGACTGCCCAGAAACGTGGAGGTGCCACCCACCGCCCCTGCAGATATTTAAGGAAAGACCGAATGTGGCACTGAGTGCCAAGGTCTGGTTGACACGGTGGTGTTGGGTCATAGGTTGGACTCTGTCACAGGACGAGAGGGAACTTCAGACATGCCCTGCCTTAGCCTCAGATTTCTGGCAACTGCTTAAATTTAAGAAATCACTCTGGCACACAAGTTCTAGGGGTGGTAAGTCAGGTCTATTTAT